TTGAATATTTTCGATATATAACATTATATGCATTTTCACTACATGTACAATAGACTAATCTATTTTTGTTACCCGATTCACCAGTTGGCGCTAAGCAGTCTTTTCCACGGCTTAAAAATACTTTGTCTAAAACACTATCAATTCATGCACCTGATTCCAAAATATTTTTTCATAGAAGGCTTTTTCAGGAAATTCAACAAGCTCCTCCGATCGAATTTGCTGTTCGCGCCACATGCCAGAATTTTAAACTCATAATTTCGATCCCGATGCAAATTAGACGGAATATAAACAAATAAAAATATTAATTCCTTTGCCCCTCCAATTATAGACAATTTCTGCAATTAACCTAGAATATGTTCTGCCTCTAAACAGGATCCAAAAATCCATGCCTCAAGTCCATCTTGCAATATAAGGGCCGTCACTAAGTTTCTCTGTTTCTGAGAGGGGTGCGGGGAGTATTAGAGCTAGACTTTTTTTTTTAATGGGTACCATTTTGATGGATTCTGGTGCATTTTTAGCCATTTTTTTCGCATTTCAAATTAATGAAATCAAGCAGCATACATTAAAACAGAAAATTGATTAGTTTGTTTAGTCTCAAAAATCGATTTTTTTCCCCTAAAAGGATCAGATTGTTAACTTAACTAATTCGCAAGTATTATTTAAACGTTTACCTTAATGTTTGTTTATCTGGAGGCTCCCGTAAAGCATTTTCCATATAAAATTGTAGATAAATTATTCTGCAGCGTTAAGTTGCTTGGTATTATTTGTTAAGTGCTGCTTTGTGAATTCAGTAGTGAATAATGGTCATAGACCAAACTCACGTGATTTAAGTACTATTCATTATCTACTGTGGTCATTAGAGTGTAAAATAGTAAAATAAAGAGTACACAAACAAATCTTTTGTTTTATAGTGAATTTCAACTGAGATTCAGGATTACTTTCGTATTATTATGTTTAATTTTTCGGCATTTACACGGTAGTACTATACGTAAACGAATCTCGCAGGTATTTTAATAAATTACTTTAAAATACACTAAAAAATTACAAAATTATGGAATTCCATATACGACAGCTAGATACATATACGACAAAAACTTGTTTCAATGCAAAGAAAAGTTCATTAGTATTAAGTACTAATTTTAAAAACCAGTGACAAAAAGTTAATTGCTCTTATTTACAACTCCTTTCATAAGGGGGTACAAAATGTCATCTTTTGAAGACAGGCTGAAAACATCACCATTTTCAAATACTCATGAAAATGAAATGGATAAATGACTCTTAAATCTCACCGTATGTTTTAACTTATGTAAAATTTAACATATGAGATTGATAAAGTGGTAAAGTACATTTTTTTAATTTTTGATCTCATTTAAAATTGGTAATAAAATGACTATTTTCATGTTTTTAATCTTTAAACACGTGCCCCGTCCCCCCCCCCCCCCCCCCGTGAGACAACAAAACCTTTGGAATGAATAAAAACTGAAAAAAAGGATCTGTTGTTTCGCGGGGGAAGATGTTTTGAAAATAAAGTTCCATTTTCCGTTAATTTCTATAGTGAAATATTTTCTCAAATTAAAGATCTATATCTCTTTATTTTCCCAAATAAGTTATGTTTTACATACATGGATCTAGAGGGGGGGGGGGGTCGTTGGGAGGGGGGGTCCGGACCACGCCCTGGAATTTGTAGAGTTATTTAATGTATAGACCTATACTAAACCAACTAAAAGTGACCTTGGACCCCCGCCCCCCCCCCCCCCTAGAAAACGCGGATCCGTGTTAAGTTGATATGAAAAGTCATAGATAATATGAAGCATAAGATGTTAACAACCCCCCCCCCCCCCCGCCGAAATAGGTTTTTCACGTATAGGAAAGGAGTTTACGTTTTTGTTTTTGTTGTTTTGTTGTTTTTTTTTTTTGGTCAAGAAATTTCTGGGTTGGATTTTTTTTTACTGGGGTGGGCCCCTCCTGTAAAAAAATCCTAGATCCGCGCCTGGTTTTATGAAAATTCACATAAATATCAATATAAATGTGAAAATTTATTCAAATATGTGTGGCAGTTGGCAGTAAGCAGTGAGCAGTTGGCAGTAAGCAGTTGGCAGTAAGCAGTGAGCAGTTGGCAGTAAGCAGTTGGCTGTCGTATATGGAATTCCATACAAAATTTTTAAAGTTATTAAATTTTAAATTTTGAATTTGTAAAATTTCACGCTCACCCTTGGAAACATATTCACATTTTGGAATATTATTTCAAATGTCCTCTACATGTGCAATTAGTTTTTGGAATTTTCATTTTTCACCCGGGAAGTGGGCGGGTGGTTTGCGGATCAAAATACGACATTTTTTCCCCTGAACTCCTCTTACATTTTTCGCAGTAGCCCATTCATTTTTTGGAATATGTGGTGTCTGTGGATGTGCACTAAGGATTAAACATTTTCATTTTGACACTTGGGGGGGGGGGAGGGAGGGGGTAAAACAAATTGCGATTTTTTTCTACAAAAACCTTGATCCCTATACTCCTCCTCTTTCGTAGTAGCCCATTCATAATTTGAAATAAGTATTGATGACAAGTTCGAAGCGAGGTAAAATTAACAAATTTTAGGACTCTTGAACATTTATCATCAGAGATTCCACCCAACCCTCGATTGTTCAAATATATACAACCATTACTTTCTCTTAACATAAAAAATGATCATATGGAGCAGGACAAAATGATTTCCATTTCTAATTCTAGAAGGATGGGTTCTTCCCGTGGAGTAATCAATGTAGCGACAAGTATATTGATACCTTTTTGAGGCAGGTCATATTGTGATCAATTCAAGTTTCGGGGGGGTTGGGGGGGGGGGGGTTGATTGACCTCCAGGGATTATGACCTACATACCATTTAATTAAGATGGATCGACCCTCTGATAAGAGAGATAATTTTCCAAGTAAAAAAAAGTACTAATAGTGCTCATGGTTTACTTTATCAGAGTTTAATCATCGAGACCTTTGAGTATTCATTTCGAGTAAACCCAACATAATATCATAACATCATATTATGATGGAAACATCCTTTGCCTATATTTTTTTCAAATTCTTTTATATTTGACAAAAACATTTAAATCCAGTTTTAAAACCTTTAAAATTGAATAAGTTCTATCTTTTTTTTTTAAATATAACTCTTGCTAAAAGATGTATTGTTTTCTCACAACCACATATAAAATTGTGATATTCTGACGTATAGGATGCAGTGCTTTATTATGTTTTCTAATATGAATTTAGTAGGTATGACACTTAATTTTATTTTCATATATTTGACATATTTTTAATTTTATTTTGTGATAATAAATTATTACTCTTCCTACTGTCTGTGTTAAAATTTCTTCATATTGTGATCTGACATAAGGGCAAGGATCAGCTATTTGTAAATAATAACGACCGTCACTTTTGGAATTGAAATTAAGAACAATATATATTTGTTGCAATTCAGAAAGTTGTATTTACACTTCTGTAATATAACAGAAAAAGAATAAACAATTTAATCTTTTTATCTTAAGAAATATAATTAATATTACCGATTTTGTGTAAAATTGTCCAACTTTTGCGCATGCTTATAAGAGATTTTCCAACCTGTGTGCCAAAAATGCAATTAAAAAAAAATTAAATACTTTTTTATATACATGTAAAACTAAGGGAAATATGTACAAAGTCGAGGCGCTTCGTCCGTTAGACGCTCGCGAAGCTGACTGGTCAGTCGGATTTATGCCTTTTCTCATTTATTTTTATTTTTTTCAAATGAAAAAATTGCCTACTCCTGTGAACACAGGTGAACTACACCACCCTCCCCTACGGAATTCATATAGTTTTTGGAGTTTGAGCGAAGGCATGAAAATAAATAATCTGATTAGACCAATACCCCCTCCCCAATTTGTTTTCTGAATGTAAATTTTTACTTTTGTATTAGTATCATTGAAAGCCCGACTGGTTCCCCCTCCCGTCTTTTTTTTTTTTTTGGATCCAGTATCCTATGCTCATGGACCATAACCCCCCCCCCCCCCTCCCCCCTCTTCCGTCCACCCCCTAAAAGGAGTTTGAAGTTTTGCAGAATTCTCATCTTTTTTGGCTTGTCAAAGTTTTTTTTCAAGTTAATTGTCATTTTTCCCCCTTCCTGCCCTACTCCCTCACTTCGATGCAACATGCTAGACATTTAATTTTTTCCCTTAAAATAGATTTAGAAATTCCAAATTAAAATAACCGGCTATGCTTATTTTATACGTGCTTTTCTAGTGACTTCGACAAATGTCAACAATCAACAACAGTTAACAGTCAAGAACACTTCATGGCATATGCTTTGCTTGACGAGTTTGTGTCATTTATATGTAATAATTAAAATCATATAAAAAATCAATTAATGCCGTTTTTTCAGTCAATAGGATGATTTAGTCACCCTTAGAGTGCGATATTCACTTCGCCCCAGGTGAATATTGTTATCCTCGGTTGGCTAAATTATCGTATGAAAAAAAGAGCAATAATTGTATAATATATAGTACAATTTATGAATTTCAGGGACATTGATATAAATCTCATGTAGAGTAAAATCAGTAAAGCCCCCGATTAAAAAACCTGTGCTTTAATCCCATTTGAGAGACTTTTATTTCAGCTGAGCGACATATTGAGACTTATCCATTGATTATACTTATGTATTGGCAAAATTATTGGAAGGGGGAGACACGCCCCCGTGTCTTCTTGGTACCTACGCACAACACTGATTAGAAGTCAGCGTCAAAGATTTTCCTGCGAATAATACAGAGTTAACGTTCATACTTTAACCTAGGTGACGCATCACAATGGAATGACGTCATAATAGACTTCTTGTCTCTTGCTTCACAAGACATAATTTGTGGTAGGTAGAAAATAAAATAATGAAATGCTTTAGATGTTAGAATCATTATAGCAAGAATATTTATTTAAATGTGGAACTCATTAACATTGTTGTTGTTTTCCAGAAATAGAGAGGCTGTATAAGAAATCTATCATTCGGAATCACGAATTCCAGTTGACATAAAAAGTGTCAAGAATTGAATCAGAATTGGATCAATCGTACATTGTGAACCCAAATACTTGTAAGTATACGCACATGGTTATCAATAGTCATTAACTTTCACTTATGAAATTTAAAAAGTATAAAATCAGATCAAGTTTTCCTTTTGCTCTCTCTCTCTCAAATATGTCATACTTTTATTTAAGTCGAGCGAAAGCTAGAAGTAAACATAATGGACGATAATCCAGGAAAGTCGCCACAGGAGAATGGAGAGGTAAAGTATTGAACTATAAGATATTTTCAATGTGTGCAAATAAATAAATAGACCAATAACTTCTAGGAAAATGTATGCAAACGAATGTTGAACGAAAAACTTATAGCAGAAATTTTGAACAAGTACGAAAGAGATATTTACAAATTTGCAGAATAGAAAGATCTTCATAGATCATATTAGTGAAAGATATAGATAATTAAAAAAATCATTTGTTTTTTTTTTTTTTAAACTTATTAGATCAGCACTCTTTGGAAAGGGGGGGGGGTAGATATTCAGATTTCGGACCGTGTCTTCATTTTTTATTTTATTTAACAGGACCTCTTCCTTTGGAATGTTGTTTATAGGTCTTTCGAAATTATTGCAAACTTTTCTCGCTTTACTCATTATACATTGTATATATATATATAATTATAATACATGTACATGTATAATCTTTAAGAAAACAGTGGAAGTCGCTGCTGAAAAAGAAATGGTGAGTTTGAATTTCTAGTATTACCATAAATTACATGCGTGTATATTTCATAAATAAAATTCATGAATCCAGATTCTGAATGTTTAATAAATTGAAAGTTAAAGTCTACAATTATAAAATTATGATGAAATCCGCACGAATTAGTTTTTTATCTATGGAATGAGGTAATAGTGTACCGTTTTCTAGGCTTCCACGAGCGGATCCAGCGTTTTTAGAGATGCTCTAGAGGTGTTGACAGACGAAGAGAGCGGTACTGATTACCAGGAGTGTCAGCAGGGGGTACAAAATTAAGTTATTTGTTTCCGTAGTTTTTGTTTTGTATTGTCATTTAATTTGTGCGAAATTAAACAAAAATGTACCTTTAATAATGGAGTAAAAAACTAAAATACATGAACAATATACAGTTTATATTTATTTAACCACAGTAAGTCCATGGCCCAAATTTCGGAATGGAGAGACCAAACTACGTCACGAGTATCTTTGAATAATAATTTCATTTTCACCAACAACATACGTTTATTTTCTGTTTCAGTCAAGCACGGCTGTTCTTGACCCCGTTCAGGACCAGAGCCAGGACATGGTGTTAGCAGAGGTAAGACACAAAAATAAGGATTTAAATTTAAGACATGAATTTAATTCTTAAAAATACATGAAATGCAACGCTTCACGCCATATTAACGCACTTCATGAAATATGCCGGCGTGAAGCACAGGCGCTAGGGGACGGGACCCCCCCTTCATTCCTTACCCCTAGGGTTCTCCGACTTCTTTATACTATATATTTTTCTACGACACATTCACAAAGTATTACAATTGAACATCCAAAATATGACCTAAAACTAACCTTTTATCAAAATTCACACTCTGATACAAAAAGAGAACTCTTTTATATCATTTATACAAAATAGTCGGAGTACCCTTGAGGCATGGAACGGGGGGGGGGGGGGGGGCAAGCACCTGTGGTTTGAAGCGTCGTGGTTCATGCACGAATTTTCGAAAACTTAATTCATTTTCTAAATATATGTTCAAAAATATACTAGGGGCAGAATTCTTTGTTCTTTTGGCTGTTTTTGTGTGTGTTTTTTTCCTTTTAAAAAAGGCATGCTCTCAGCACACCATTTGTTGCATTTATACTTCAGACACGAAGGATGTCCTACATTTGTATTGAAAATACTTGGGATGAGAAACTGGATTTGCAGGTACATGTACATGTATATACCTCCTCGCCCAAAAAATACTGGTAATTGCACATTTAAAAAAAGAAAGTTAACATTGTTACACCGTGTATCTACCAGATTTCTTTAGAATTATTCTCTGTCCGTCATAGATTTGAAAGTTTATTTTAATTTTTGCCATTGTCTAAGGCCAAAAAGATGAGCCTGACAGCCATACAGAATGCCTTCTCGTCAGCTGCCGAGATGAGCAGAAGTGATGGAGAAATGGCCCAGGTAAAAAAGAGCAGAACATTTTTTTTTCAATCGTATATCCACTTTTATTACTCTACTGATTTTTTAAGAATTTCACTTTTACATGATAGATGCATTAATTTCATGTTTTCTATTGTAGTCAGTCAGTGCGTTGAAGAAACGGGAGCTAACATATGTTTCCGAAAGTAACAAAACAAAACAAATCAAATCAAAAGCGACGAAAAAAGAAAACAAAATATTTTTTGTCCCCGTAATCGAAGATTCGAAGGCATATAGTTTTTGTTCTGTCCGTCAGTCTGTCTCTTTATCCACAAAAACTTTTAACTTTGCCCAAATTAACTTCTGATTGGTTGGAGCTAGGGCTTTCATATTTGACATATGTATTCCTTGTGACAAGATCTTTCTTTAGGTATCAACATATCTGACCTCTTGACCCTGACCTTAGAGTGTGACTTACTTTTTCAAAATCTTACTAAACAGTAACCTTCGGCATAACTTTCGAACGGTTGATGCTAGGGCTTTTATACTTCACATGTGTATTCCTTGTGGTAAGACCTTCCCTTGGTCAAATATGTTTGACTTTTTGACCTTGACCTTGGATTTTGACCTACTTTTGAAAAACTTTAAACTTGGCCATAACTTTTGAATGGTTGATGCAAGGCTTTCGTAGTTCAAATCAGTATGTATTCCTTGTGACAAGACCAACAATTTTGACCTTGGAGTTTGACCTACTTTTGTAAAAACTTCAACCTTGGCCATAACTTTTGAACCCTTGGTGCTGGGGATTTCACATTATTATATTTCACATTTGTATTCTTTGTGACACTACTCTTTTTTTTAAAGAACCAATATTGTTGACCCCATGGCCTTGAGCTTGGAGTTTTACCTACTTTTGAAGAACTTTAACCTTGACCATAATTTCTGAATGGTTGTTGCAGTAGATTTCACTTCTCACAGGTGTTTCCTTTTGACAAGACCTTTCTTTGGGCACTAACATTTGTGATCTCATGACCTTGACCTTAGAGTTTGATTTGCATTTGACTTTTTTACTTTTGTAAAAACTTCAACCTTGGCCATAACTTTTGAACCCTTGGTACTGGGGATTTCACATTATTATATTTCACATTTGTATTCTTTGTGACACTACTCTTCTTTTTAAAGAACCAATGTTGTTGACCCCATGGCCTTGAGCTTGGAGTTTTACCTACTTTTGAAGAACTTTAACCTTGACCATAATTTCTGAATGGTTGTTGCAGTAGATTTCACTTTTCACAGGTGTTTCCTTTTGACAAGACCTTTCTTTGGGCACTAACATTTGTGATCTCATGACCTTGACCTTAGAGTTTGATTTGCATTTGAAAAACTTTAACCATTGACCATGAGATATCACACAGGGCATCAGTGTTTCACAGACACATCTTGGTTTTTTAACTTGTTTGCATATTTTGCATTGAAAAAATAAAAAAAAAAGCAAGAATATTCATTGGATTATTTCAAAGCTATTGCTTTTATGATCTGATTGCACTTCTTTAGATACTCTTTGTTGTATAGAACCTGTATAAAATTTACTGTAATTTTTTTGTATTTAATACCGGTATCGTAGTGAATTCAAAAGTTACAATTTGACAACACTAATTAGTCTTACATGATTTTACTGATATGTTAACATATTTTTATGATACTGTTTTAGACAAGCAGCAGTGCTAGCCCTGCTGTACATATTGCCTTATCCAAGACAATGGAGATGGAGGTATGTAATAAACAATCAATATTCTACTTGAAATATTTATTTCAGAATTCATTTTATTTTTTTTTTATCTTTCCTTATTTGTTTGTCACAGGCCAGGAAGATGTCTACGACTGCCCTGCAGAAGGCTTTTTCGGCGGCTGCCAGTGATAACCAGAAGAAAATTGTTGAGGTGAGAATTTCTCATGATGTTTGGTCAGACTCACATGGAAAATATGTACCATGTTTTCTTTTCATCAGATAAAAAACAAACAAACAAACAATTATCTGTAAGGTGTTTGTTTCAATCAGATTGGACTTCAAACACGTATTTTCTTTTTTTTCAGCCCAGACAGGGTGTTTTCAGGAGGATTATTTCCAGTTTAACTTCTTGCTGTGGGAGGAGGAATCGTTGAATTTAAATGACTTGTTAATTTTTAATTAAATGTACATACTGTATATTGTTTAATTAATAATTAAAAAAAATACAAAATCTTATTTCTTGTTACATGATAATATCAGTACTTCCTTTCCTAGGCACTTCCTTCTTTATGTGATAAAAGCAAGAAATTTAAAACAAGACATTGTGGGTCATTAAGGGCTATAAAGGTTGTCGTAATTAGTATCTATACATTGGAGACTGAAGGTCCCTTTTCTAAAAATTAAAATCAGCAGCAAGATATACAAGAAACATAAATTGTTCAATGAATTACTAGTAGCTTTAATGGCATCCTCTGAGCTAGTCTGAATATTGGGTTTCATCCAATGCATCATCTGACAAAGACTTGATGATCCTTGACTGAGCACAGTGTGAAGACAAACTGATGGACAGGACATGTCACACAATAATGATCCATCAAAAGACAAACTATAAAATGTACAGGGACAAACTCGGATATCAACAATATACATGAGCTTTCTTTGAAAAATGTGCACATGGCTACATAATTTTTTTTTTGAGCTCACATTATAGATCTCTATAATGGCTCCTAGCTTTGACAACCTCAGCTTGCACACCTACAAACATTCATCAAAGAGGCCAACTTGTGCAAGAGATAGCCATATAGTATTTTGGCTCTAAATTTCATGTCTTAGAAGATCTGCACTTCCTCAAAATCAAGAGACTTTTCATGTCTCAAAAAAAAGAAAGAATCAATTTCAACACTTTATTAAGATATTTCACAATACACAGTTAAACTGGTCTACAAATCTGTGATATTTGGCACACATTTTGATGTGGCACCTTGCAAGCAAAACAGGAATTCTGAATTCTGCAAAGATTGCAACAGTTCTACATTTTAAGAAAATACAACTAATAAAGAAGTTAATTTTCTATTGGACTGGCACTATTTGAACACTAGTGGATGTCCTGAACATGTATTTTCTCAAAACCTATTTATTCTTTTTTTTACCCAATTTTTTCTAAATTCATTCATTTTCAGCCAGCTGAATCAATCAATAAACAGTCACCATATTACACTGCTTAACATCTCACGTACACAAATTTCCTCAATTCCCTGATAAGAAATCATATATTCAAATCAGTACCCTAAAAATTTTTGCATGAAAAATCTTAATACTGATTTACAGTAAGCATTTGCCTGAAATAAAATTTTAAAATATGCGGCCTCCTTTCCAATGACTTGCTGCTCCAAAATTAATGAATGCTAGATTACAAGTAGTACACTAAATTAAATCCTGCATAAAAACAGAATGATCTAAATGGTAAACTGACTTAATTCATTCCATGAATCAAGATTTCCAATTAATGTTGTTTTCATCTAGACAATGAGTATTTCTCTTGCATAAGCAAGAGAGCATGTTCAAAATAAATTTTAACATAATGGACACCTGAAATTCGTAATCAATACAACATCTTGGTTACATGAATGCTTTCTTAGCCATTAAAGTACTACATATAAGTACTTCATTTTCCACATTATAACAGAAAGTCATGGATCCACCGTATTTTTAGTAAGCCTGTGTAAACCTTGAATGTGAGAAAGAAACACCTCCCCCCCTCCCTCTCAACTGACTGGTACTTAATATTACCAAAATGAATCCATACGTAACAGTTCTCAAACTGTCAAAATTGCATCTAAAAATTATAACAAACATGACACACGTGCCACAATGCTTCTCTCCATGTGACTTGCACAAACTTGTAAACTAGTACTTGAAGATGTTCGAGAAATAATCCTTTACATTTAAGCCTTGTAGTTTCCAAGAAAAAAAATTCAGAATACTCCGATTTTAGCACCAAAAGCCTTGATTTTACATTTAAAAATTTGTTTCTATACTGCATGTTGAACTTGTGAATTCAGCTTCTTATGGTCCTGTTGTTCTATAATAGCTAGGTTAAGATTTAAAATTCTGGGCTTTATATATCCCCATGTACAAATTTTAACCCCTGTTGCATCTCCACTGATGCGCTGAAGGCCAAAATTTAAAAAAAAAAAAAAAAAAAAAAAAAAAAAAAAAAAAAAAAAAAAAAAACTTAAATCTATACAAAGTAAGTAAACTTTTTACTTTTTGTTTGTTTGTTTTTTTAATTTTGTTATTTACATCACCTGGTAAAGGGCATAGCTGACAAGTCCGAAATGTCCGAAATGTGAATGTTCAGAGAAGAATGGTGGACAATTAAATTCTGATCAAAACAGTTTATGTGAATTATTGGTTCCTCTGCAGCTGGCATTATCAGAAAACTTAAGATTCTAATTTTAAATGTAATAGAGATTTCATAATTCTAGACTTAACTTTGCTATATTAAATACCTCTTAGGAAATTCCATACAAGAATGATGTAGGGGGAGGTGGTTGAGGGAAAAAAATTTGATCATACAAGGTTAGGAATTACGTGTTCGTTGTTCACATCACATACATGTACTAAATGAACATTATATCACAGCAAAGATAGGATCAAAAAACATCACCTGAAAAAAAGGTCCCTGCTTTAAACACACACAAAAGTTCAAGCATTCTGCCTTACATATAAATCAAAGTATACAAAATACAAACTCTTCAGCTCATTAAACAAAGAAAATCAGCTTGAAACTTAACTAAGGCATCTATGTGAAAACAAATGTGATATGACTGAATAAACCATGTAATGCTCCCCTGTTTAGCACAAATAAGTGAGGTAGCGCAGGTTTTTTCCCCTCTAAAAAGCAGTGTGCGTTCTTGAATCATTATCACAGAATAGTTCGAATATCATTAATTCCACGATTTCTAATTATGCACTCACTAATAATTATAATTCATTCACCTCGGGGTCTCAAAAGCAAAACAACAGTACATTACAAGAATTTCTTAAAAAGTGGAATTTTTTCGATACATTAAAAACACCTGGTTATTTTTGCCTCTATCCACCAATAATTTTTAAATAGATTCCACTGCTAATCATAAAAAAAACATGATTTACAGGGGAAGCAATATATATCTAACGACATGATGTATGTGATAAGCACAGGGACGGATCCAAGATTTTTTTTAACAGGATCAAGAGTGTCCATTATTAATGTTAGAATTGAGCCATCTTAGTGTAGTTTTTTAAAATACCACAAATAATTCAAAATCACCTGGGGTGTAAATCTGTACCTTAAACTGGATCCACCAATGAGGCATGTTTTTGATACAAGTGTCCCAAATCTAACAGAAAATTTTGTTGGGGAAAAGAATTATACAAAATGTAAAACTAGAACTAAAACAAGTCAGATATTCTAGGATGCATGAAACCATTCATGTTTCCAACATTATTTTACTTACTCCAACATTATTAAACTAATCTATGAAGATGTTATTTTTGTTTACTTTATACAAGATGCATGCATCTCTTCTATAACATCATACCTGAACACTGTTCTTAAATTTAAAGACTAGCTTGTGTGATAATACATAATCCCACATAAAAATACACCTATATTCCTAGGAATTCCAACATCCAGTCTAGTACAAATATTACATCTGGGAGATATTCTAGCAGTGGTGGTTTAAATTTTTTGGAGAAAACAGAAAATAAAGATTATATATAAACTCAACGAAAAAAAAAAAGAAAAAAAAAAAAAGAAGAAAGAAAATTCAATAATTAACAAACTGATCTGGAAAAAATGTCTGTAGTCATAATTTCTATTCATGACAATCTCCTCAATAAATAAATACATTAGTAATATATTACAATCACTCTATACACAAATTCCTATTCACATTAATACATTGAAGGATTCCAATTCATATCACAAAACACTCATATTTTGAATACACATTTACAGCAATCAATGCTTTTTGCAGCACTTTCAAAATGGAGAAAAAAAAGGTTGTCAAAAATCATTTACAATGAAGATCAAAAAGGCTCAAGATTTGGAATATATTTTTGGCAAGAAAAAAAAAACAAAGCAAAACACACCTTTCTGTACAAAAATACATGTAAAAACATGTATTTTCTTCCACTGACTCATGCATTCACATTCATTCAATTTTCCACTTTATAACACTTTGACTACACTCAATCACATACCACTGGGAAAACATTATATACACATGCAATGAATGCACATCACTATGTACACAACATTAAAGTACCAACTTGAATTTTTTTTCTGTAGAACACTTTTATCTGCACCATATTTTTTCTCTATAAATTGTTACACAAATGGACAACATTATTCTGGTCAAGGAAATCAGTACAAAATGACATCTATCAAAATATATTTCCACTATTAAGGAATTAGTGAAATGCTGAATCCAAGTGGGCCAAAAAACAGAGACAAAAACATTAGTGCATTTTTGTGCCTATATGCTTGCTTGATGGTTTAAAGAAAATGTTTTGTATAACAGAAATTGTTGATATCAAGAATTTCAAACAGAGAAGTTGTTTTTATGATGCTTCTACAATCTTGGAAATTTTTTTTCCTAACAAGATTTGACAACAAACATGAAAAATAAATACTGTAAGATGCTTATTTCATGCAACTATGTACATGTATCTGTGAACTGAGGGCACAAATGAATGTTCAACATATCAAGCACTATGAAAAAAAAAGTTGGTGAAATCTTGTCCTGTCTCTGTCAGTGAGATCAAATATAAACTGAGCAAAAACTGATTGAGGCATAACAATTAACCTATATAAATCCAAAATATCACCCAAGTCATGCCAAGCACAACCGTACAATTATTCCAGATCTGTTGTCAAATTATTATGTCTAATTCAATAATCAGCTGTTCATGTCTATTTCATTGAACTATATATGACTAGCAACTGAACTGCTATAGAACATTAGTAGATACATGTATAAATGTACTAAAATATAAAGACTAATCTATTAATACTTTGAATCCTACAAGAAAGACAAGTTGTGGAAACCCTCAGATAATAACAGCTTCCCATGATCCTCTTCCATCACTGGTATTCCAAAATCTGCTTGTGATAAAACAGTAGGTACCTGCAAAACATACTGAATAGATGCAAATTTTGTACTTTATAGTGCTCTCATCTGAGCTTTCTTGGGAAAATATTTCAATTTTTCAAAAGAGTGATAATGGATCTACTTAGGTACTTCTGTTCAAATGTATTATAAGTAAACATGGCGTTTTCATGAGATGGCGTGCTATATATTAACAAGACTCTAAATTACATGTACTGGGACATGTATTTAACAGCTTCTGCATCAAACTTAAACACTTTATTAATAAGTATCCAATACTATGCTATATTAGAAAGTGTTCAATCTTTTTTTAAAATTTTGATCCCTAAAACAACCATGTCAATTAATGAAATAAATTTGATTAATTAATCAAATTTATTTCAATTAATAATTTGATGTTCCTATAAAAAATCCACCTCACCCTTCACTTTTAAGCACGTCATTAAGTGTTGCTTTAGTGATGAGGTGGTCATCACACTTGAACCACTGGTCCTTGTGTTGTCGGATAAAACAGGTGTAGTGTCCGCATTCTATCGTACCCATATGGTTCACAACAGCAAACAATGAATATCTACATAAATAAAACATCACCACCTTATATGGTAAAACTGCCTAGATTTTTATCTGAAGATACGACAATTTTTTTATACCAATTTCCTTAGATTTGGATTAGTTTAGAGACTTACTTGTTATCACATGAAAGACCTTTGGCAGATTCCTGTACAATTTGATTCCTGTAGCCATTGTTGTTATTGCGGGAGGAGGACATAAACGGAGTCATGTCCAACTCCTCTGGGAATGATACAAAAGTTGAGATCTTCTTGTGGAGGCCTGTTAAGTGCTCAAATCTCTGTAATGTATTAACAAACTATGTACTTGTATGTGCATTGTGGGGAAAACAAATAATATCAAAATGTGGCATATGACAACCGTAAATTACATACAATAGGGACCCACATCTCTTCTCAACATTTCTCGAGTTTCATTGTACAATATATTGCATATTCTCTATGAAAATTTTGTTACATTCCATGTACATGTACATTACAACTAGGCAGCATAAAAATGACATGTACATTAAAAGATACGCACAAAAAAAGCGTAAAAGTGCTCTTGTATTTTACTGAACTTTTGTCTCAAGAACCAATAAATAACTGAACTACAGAGATATTCTTAAGACTAGAAAATTGTACATAGGGCATGAATGTCCTGTCCCAGGTTCATTTAGCAACATGAAAAAAAATGCACCTTGCTTCCTTGTTAAAGATTAGGGTAAATGAGGAATAGTGAGGTCGATGTCACAGGGAAGGTTAAGGTCAGAAAATTAATTATTATGATACGATTCAATAGCTCTCACAAATTTAAATTGGTGTATGATGTATGATGAAAATATTTCTTTGAAATTGAGTTTTAAACACAACAAATAGCAAATTCAAAGGTCACAGAAAAGATCAACGTAAAAATTATTGGATGCATTTGATAAGTTCTCACCAATATGTGTCAGTATACGTGTTAGATAAAAATATCTTGAATAGTTTCTTTGAAATTCAGCTAACACAAATTTTGGACTAGTAAGGTCAAGGTCATAGAGAAGATTAAGGTCCAAAACTGTTGATGCAGTTGAATACCTATCACTACTATGTATCTGCATATGAAGTTTGATAAATATATCTTGAATAGTTTCTTTGAAACTAAGCTAAATGCAAATTTAAGAAAAATGAAAACAAGGTCAAAGGAAAGGTCAAGACCAAAAACTTTTTGATGCAGTTGAATAGCTCCTACTTATATGTATCAGCATATGAAATTTTATAAAAACATCTTTGATAGATTCGTTGAAATTAAGCTAAACACAAATTTAAGAAAAGTGTGGTGAAGGTCAAAGGAAAGGTCAACGTCCAAAAATGTTGATGTAGTTGAATAGCTCTTATCAATATGTATCAGCATATGAAGTTTGATAAAAATATCTTGAACAGTTTCTTTGAAACTGAGCTAAACTCAAATTTAAGAAAAGTGAGGTCAATGGATGGACAGACAGATGGATGGAAGGATGGATGGAAGGACAGAAGATGGACATGACAAACACAATATGCCCTGGCCATATTCATGGTGGGGCATACAAAGGTCATGTACATGTAAATATGTCATGCTTCCTCAAAGGCTTGAACAAACCTTGAGATGAAAACAGGCCACTATTGGTAGCTTCTTCATGGTCAGCTGTTTGGTGGACTCCTGGTAACTGTGACAAGTACTGCACTTGATTTTAGCTGAACTGCCTAAGTGCTCAGGCTTTGTAAATCTGCAGGTATTGAGAAACTTGAATAGTTTATCTATAGATACATCAACTTGTTTCATTTTCTAATGATCTGAGAGATGTATTTTAATCAATCCATTTCACTGAAATTAGAATTACATGTATTCCCTCCTGCTACTTACCGTTTTAAGCAGTCTAATAATGAGGTAGGTTCATAAGTTCCTGGACTATTTGTAAAACCTGTCAAATTAAAAATAATCACCTTAATTACTATTTATCAAATAAAATTGGCTTCAAGAATGAACACTGAAAATTTTTTACACTACAGAGAACTGGTTGAAACTGTTCAAACATGGTCAAATTCCTAAAGGTGTAATTTTTTTTGGTCTTGATCTGAAGTCATTTTTGTTTGTTGTACAGTGTTGCACAACATGACAGATCTAGGTATAATTGTCATTTGCAGGAAATCAATGATTTAAATCATTTCTGACAAAAGAATAAAGTAGCACAGTTGCAAATACATATAACTACAATATGTAAATCTATCCAATAAAATCAAACAATCCTCTATTTATTTAACATCTTCTGACAGCAGCACTCACCTGAACTTGGTGAGGAGCTGGAGTTATTAACATTTAAGAGAGCATTTGGTATGGCACCTGGTCCCAGGTCAAGAGAAATGTCCCATATTGGATCTATTGTGGTTGACACATTACTACAACAGAATATTTTCCTTTACTGAAAAAAGTCAGATGTGATTACTATGATATAAACCTGTTTTAAATAACACAGTAATATGTTTTTAATTTTTTTTTGTTTTTTCCCCCTAAACAAGTAAAATAACTAAAGAGCATTAGATTAAGGCTAACCTTATAAAAGGTTGGCATTAGAAAAAAAAGAATTCTTTAGATTCTCCCTGCATGCTCCTCTCAAGGTGACCAGCCAAGAGAAAATTATCAAATCTCAAATACATTTTTAGAAAACATGAATAAAGCACCAATTATGCATTTTCTAAACAAAGATTTATCAACGAGTACATTTTAATTAGGATAAAAAAAAATCAAATGCATCCAGGCATCTGATAAAAAATTGCATGCTTTTTTTTATAATCAGCATTTTCAATGTATGTGATATAATTGCCAAATATGAAAGATATCACTTAAAAAAAAAATTATTTCATGCTAATAAGCATCCAAGGTGAGTCTTTAAAAATTGATTTCTTTTCAAATTTAATTAAAAAAAAAAAAATCTTTTTATGGGGTGCATATATCATCTTTTTATAAAACAGTTTCAAAGACTTCACAAAACCTTAGATCTTATCAAGATGCATGATCTATCAGGCAATGCAAAAACTACAGAACAAAATTTCAACTCTGATTACTTTCATAATAACGGGAAAATTAAAATAACCTCAACAGATAACATATTTCTGTCAATGTGTCCAACATCTGACACTGTGGACATAAACTCTTTAGCATTATTTCCATAAAGGACTAAAGTCTTATGAGAAAATTTTCTGCACAGACAGATGGAAAAATGCGGTCAGACACTTGACAAAAAGTGATCCCTCTGTAGTCAGATTTGTAGTGACATACTTGCACTGCTGACATGTAACATCCGACTGTAAACCACCAGTAAAGATTTGGTCGATGATGCAGTTACAGTGATGTGGATTCCCTGAAGCCATTCCGTTTCTCCCTATAGAATTATAACAAAGAGTCTACAATTACATTCTATGTAACACACAGCATATACATGTATGTGCATGATGTATTATGCTTGAAAACGTATTTTTTTCAAAAATGAATTTAATATTCTATATTTATACAGTTAACTTGTTGTATTATTGGATATGAACAAAGATTGCATTATTTCAAAATATTATATTGAAGTAATTTTCAGAAAGAAAAATAAATATGCTTAGAGTATTTGTGATCAAAACAGTTTGCAATTTGACAATCGTTACTGGGAACAAAAAAAGCACTTGTACTCAAGAACATGACAAAACAGTTGTTCATGCATCAAAAACTTTTGCCTTTATATATAGCATGTTTTATTGGTAACAAACAGTTAAAAATACAGACAGAATTTTGAACATTACAAGAAAGTCAGACTTTGATGTATGGATAAAAGGTAGATTGAGGAACACAGAGTGATTACCACCTCATGCAAACAGATTAAATCTATAAGAATCACTGATTACTAAATACACAAGCAAAGGTGACTACATATATATATACAGGTAAACTTCGGTATCTTGACATCAGATGTGTCGTCAATCTGGGATATGTCAACATCCTACAGCTGTATTTATTATATACAGTCAAACCTCATTATCTCGAACTCAATGGAACTGAGAAAAAACCTTCGAGATACCCGAGGATTTGAGATATCCAGGGTAAAATACTCAAAGAATAAGGGGTTGGGACTTCCAAATCACTTGGACATATCCATGGTATTTATTGGACATATCCATGGTATTTGAGATATCAGTGTTTGAGATACCAAAGTTCGACAGTAAATGAATTCAAAAACTTGGGTACATGTATGTCGACCTCAGTTGTAGAGTACCCCTCCTTCTTTGATGTATATTCACAATCCAAAAAGTAAAATTTCCCTTGTATGTGTCAACAATGGGGCAATTTTCTGCTCTACTAAACCTAAGTGTTTATCAGATGGTCACTCGTCATGCACAGACGACTCTGTGTATCTCCACATCATAAGAAATTCACACCTTTCAAACCCATATTTTGACTGCATATAGACTTTGTTTGTAAATGAATCTCAAGAATTCTTAGTTGTTAATTTCTTAACAGCTCATGATCAGGTAATATCATTGATAAATCCACAAGATTCTGTGTAAATGTACACACAATTATTTATATGGAAACCTATCATAAATTTAATCTGAAAAAGGCAACTGAATTACAATGAATAACAAATACATTGAATTCAGTTCAAATATATCTTGTAAGAAATGATACAATTTTTCATGATATTTTGCGGTAAAAATGCATTCAACAGGAAATAATTCAATGTCACGAATAACTGATTCAGCCGTGACTCATCCATATTTAACATCAGTATAAAAAATTTCTTTTATATATTTTGTTCTTTAATTACTTTTTTTTGAAATAAAATAAGAAAAAATATGCATGCATTTTATTTGCAATGTACAAAGTTTATACAGCGCATTTCATATCCTGTTCTAATAAAATGCAAACATCACAAGCAGAATGCCGGATGGAAAACTCTCAATAAATTTAGAAAGAAATCATTTAATCAATAAGACATTTTTTAAATAACTTCTTAGATTTTGTGATAAACAAATGGAGGAAATGCTGAAAATAAGACAAATAACTAACTACTGAATTCGTGTACATAATAAACTATTCTTGGTTTTGCTATGCAGTGAAATCTTGGACGTTGAGTCTCAACTCCCATATCTAGAGACCCCAGATATCTCGACATTTTCCGATAGTCCTGCCTATGTCAAGATACTGAAATTTACCTGTATACAGTATATATAGGAATAAAAATATTTTATAAGTGAACAACACAAAGTCAGAAATCCAACTGCTTATTTTTGTATACCTACACACCGCATTACAGACAGAACCTTTATTCATGCAATTACAACCCAAAGTTGACCGAAAAGTATTCACATACAAGTACTATGCTACGTCAATGATACATACAAGATATAAAGGTATGTGTATGAATGTTCATACAATCTTGTATTCCCCCTTTGATTTTTCTGCAGATCATCTATCAATGTACTGAAGTTCATTTCAGAAATAGTAAAAAGAGAAGAAGTCTATTTGATAGGAAGACAAAGAGAAATTCTCTCCACTGAAAGAAGCTAAAAAAGGCTTTTGAAATGCAATCGAGAACTGTAGACCTCTGAGAAAAGCTTGTTTGAATGAACAGGGAATATACAAGCCTGTACAAACCTGTGAAGAACTTGTTGATGGATAAACACTTATTATCTGAGTAACCTTTACAGTGACGATGCAGCACATCAAGCGCTGCGATCAGAAACTCATGAGCATCCTGTTGTTCATAACCAGCCAGGTGTCGAGCGTTGGTCCAGACCAAATGTAATAGACGATATGGAATATGAGGAGTTCTATTGCCAGAATAAAACTGTAATAACAAAATACATATAAAAAACTATGTAACCTTCAATGTCTTGTTCAAATAGTAATTATACTTCAAAATTTTATGTTTTTATTGCAATTTTAAGTGAAAATCATTTAACTCTTTTCAATAATAAATAATCATGACAAAATACCTCTTGGAAAAGCCTTGCCATCTCACAAACAAGGCACTGTTGAGCTTCTACTGAGGTCATTTGACAATTGTGCTTATCAGCAAGGAAAAAGTCACGTAGCACCGGGGTGTGAATCAATGATTGCACAATGCAGTTCATAAAACAGGTATTTCCTAAATTAATTAGCCCTCTCAATCCTGTGCAGAAAGAAAGAAATCTATACATTATCACAAATTAAAACAAAATTTCTATACAAATCTGCTAAACCAACTTCTAAACATGCTTAGTCAGAAAGTCTATCTGCCATTTGCATGAGAAATAGAGTAATGTTCCTTTATAAGGTTTAAAGATGAACAGGTTTGGTAAAAAAAAAATTCAGGAATGTTAAGTAACTTTCTTTGTTAAAAATTTCAACTGAATGATGATTTTTCAAGAGAAGATACCGACAGACAGACATACGACAGGTCATCAGAAAAGTGTGATGAACTTTGGTTCGTGCAAAAAGAAACAAGAGGCCAATGGGCCACAACACTCACTTTGGCCCTCTGTTCTTCATCAGATTTTCCCCTTTGTATTCCTATGTAAAATTTTGATTCACCTTTTGTGGCCTCATCCTATATAAAGGGGCCATGATTTGAATAAAATTGAACCTACACTACCAGAGGATGCATCTTTACAACTTATCATGGCTCTACTGTTTTTTCTATGTAAAACTATGATCGTCCATTGTAGTCCCCACCCTACCCTTTGGGGATCAAGATTTCAACACAACTTGAATCTACACTACTTAAAGTTGCTTCTATATTAATACAACTAATTATGGCTTTTCTATGCTTGAGATGCTTTTAAAATGTTTTTTTAAAAATATATTTCTTTATCAAACTTTGATTTCCTATTGTGGCCCCACCTTACCCCAAGGGACCATGGTCTGAACAATTTACAATCTACATACCTCAGGAAACTTTCATCTAAGTTTCATCTTTTTTGGTGGTTCTTGATTTTTCCTACATATTTCAATGCAAAACTTTGATTCCCTTTTGTGGCCCCACCCTACCCCCTGGTGCCATGATTTGAAAAAATTACATTTTACACTACCTCAGGAAGATATCAAATAAGTTTCACCTTTTCTGCCCTGGTGGTTCTAGAGCAGAAGATTTTCTAATGGCCCCAAACTATTTTTGTCTTTTCCTGATTATCTCCCCTTGGAAGGGGATTTCATCCTTCATTTTAAACTTCACTTTATCCAAGGATGCTTTGTACCAACTTTTGCTAAATTTGACCCAGTGGTTCTTGAGAAAAGTTGAAAATGTTTACAGACGGATGGACAATGGACAGTGGGTGATCAGAAAAGCTCACTTAAGCTTTCAGCTCAGGTGAGCTAATAACAATAGAGGCCATATTCCATATTGCATATGAACATTTTACCTATAGTTGACTTATTTTCTACTTTTCTCCTCTTTGGATTTTGTCTAAGAATTTCAACCTCTACATCTGTTGGTTCCCATGCTATGAAATTGTATGTTTTCAACCCTGCTATGATAGAAAATGCAATGAAAAAAAGATATATATAAAACAGGCAATCAAAAATGACAATGCTTATCTCATTGAATTTATCTATAAGAAAGGCAAAGTCTCGACATACTGAATGTTTAGAAAGATTCATTACTTACATGTAAATTCATCATGACATGCCTTTCAGAAAGACAATTACATGTAGCATTTATTTGTAGATGCATCATCGAAGCAAGTTTGATCAAGGTAGGACAGATATTTACTTGAGAATGGACATTAATCTGGCCACTTATAATACATACACAGATTGAATTATCCAAAGCAAGCTAGTCTGGGTGTCTTTCTTCCTTTGATGCCAAATTCATTCAAGTTTGATCAAAATAGGGCTTATAATTACTAAGGAATGAACCTGCTCCCCAAAAATATAACTGGAAAATATAGGTCAGATACAGCATCCAAAGGAAGTTTGGTAGCATGTTTAAAGCAAATTTTGAAGTGTGTATCTGTAAATGCAACATTCATACAAGTTATTTCAGCCCATGTTTGGCTTATAGGTAATATGGAATACATACTGTAACAGGAAAGGAGAAAATGTATGGCTGGACTGGGAACTGAACCAGGGACCCCTGCATCACTATTAACTAGTCAGGTGCTCTACCAATTAAACTATCCAGGCCTATCCATGGCCCAAAGCATTACATTCCTCCTTCTTTAAATTGTCTTCACCCTCGAAGACACAAGTTCTTATTTGCCCTGGCAGGACCTTCACCTGCAATTCCAGGGGTGGTCAACTGCTCTATGAGAAAATGTATGTTTGGACCGGGAATCAAACCATGACCCACTGGGCAGGCATCACTAGTCAAGTGCTCTACCAACTGAGGTACCCCGTCCAATCCTTATGGCCCAAACCATTACAACACCAACCTAAAATAACTTGTATGAATTTTAAAAAATAAGAAATAAACCTAAAGATTTGGCAGCTTTCTCATTTTGGAGATGAGCAATGCTTTCCAGTTCTTTGTCATAAACATAATCTCCACATTCAAAGCAATAAATTGTCCCATATGTCATGTCAGCAGCTGTGAACAAAAAATGGAAGTGATTTGATACATGAACATATTTAATGAAGTATAGCTCTACTTTCCTAATTTATTACAGAATGAAGACAAATTGCAGACTGATTATACAGTTGAAAATATTTGATAGGTTACCTAAATTGTGATTCTTGGAGAATGCATGCTCATGGATGTGTTTGGTTGTGTAACAGCCAAAAAATACACAGTACAGACAAGCATGTAGTCTGAAGGATGGGAAGCGGCAGGTGTGACATACCCCAGACTTTCCCTAAATTAATGGAAAATTATTTAATCATGTTTAACCATCAATAATATGTTTCAACATTTCCTTGTTCACATTTCTCAACATAAAACTTTACCAGACAATTGAGGAATACATTTTTAATCTTATCTTAACTCTCTGTCTTCTTTCATATATATATTTTTTTCAAGCCATTAAATTAGTAAGGATTATAATGTTATTTGGCATTGTCAAAACAAACAAAACACCTTTCTTTGCCTTGCACTGTCCGATGAAGCAGCGATAAAATATGCATGAATTATTCGAAATTGGTTGGTTCCATATTTAGACTTGTACTCAGTTATGTGTTGACAACTTGTCATAGTCATAATAACGTGCCCTTTTGATTGCAAATCCTCTGTTTCATTTTTTTGAAATAACAGATTTCTTGCGACAAAAACCTGACAAAGATTATGCGCAGTCGTGACTCATTTAGAGCTTCTTCACGCATGGTGCAAATTCCGGTTCCGCTAAGTTTCTACTTGCTAAAGTTGCTTAACCAGAAGTTTATTACGGTTTCATAAGTACTTATGATGTTACTTTTGCTGAATTTAATTTTAAGGTACCTAGAAAATTGATACGCAAGCTGCAAACTATCGAAGTGACAAAGAGAGGACCACGGCATTGCAGTTCTTTGGATACTGTCTGTACTTTCACTTTTGTTGTCTAATGTACTTTCTGTTTGATTCAAGTACACATGATGGCAAAAAAGCGATCTGAAAGTCTCCTTAGTGACATTGTAACATTAGATTCCATTTTTTAACGTATAAGAAAAAAAAGAAGAAATTTTTCCTTTTACGGTATATAATGATTGAATTAGGTGGCCAATAAACTATTTCTAGATTCTATTATTTAAATTTTCAAGTAAAAATAAAAAAAAAAGTCTGATCAGGGACGTATATACGTCACGTTCCTGGTCTTATAAATAACCCAATGTAATATTTTTGATATGCCATGTAACACAGATGTTGATTTAGAATTTATGGGATTAACAGTATTTCTAAAACAATCTCTATATTTTTTGCTGCATTTTTTTTATTCAAATGCTAACGAGTTTGAAATGCTTAAAAATTAAATTAAAGGATTTGTTTGTAATATTTTGATAGTGTCATCATTTAATAGATATTAATCCTGTGAAATATTCAAATGTCAATGTGTGAATGAATTATGTTGACATGCATTAAGGGAAAAAAATCATTAGAATTTATATAAACTTGAAAATGTTCATATTATGACCCCTGGTGCTAGGATTAGGCATCATTTTTTTGTTTTGTGAATTCATGTATGTTCAAATTATGTCCACGAGGCAAAAGTGAATGCAAAGTTTTAAATAATACATAGAAACAATTTTTTTTCTTGAGAACAACAGGGCAACAGCTAGTCATATTAATATCCAAAGTAGTATGGATTAAGATTTGGTAAAGAAATGCGCCAGGGGGCCATCAAGTGGGGGGTCAATTTTTTTTTAGGGAGTTTACATGTTTAAGAATGAAAATCTAAAGAACAGCAGGGCTAAAATGAGCATCATTGTTGTCCATGGGCCTATTGTTAAGGATGGGGTAGGGGCATGTTTGTATTTTGTACATTTTTTTTTAAGTTTTGAATTTGATTAAGATGTGATTACTCTGTTATACATGAGAGATGCAAAGAATTGTACTTAAAATGAAATTTATAAAAAATGAAATGGACATTTTTTTATTTCAGGTTTTATTTCTGATTAAAGCAGCATAAATGATGACTTGGAGTCAAATATGTAGCATTATTGGCTGTCCACTAGGACTACTTTATATTTTAAAAATCTTCTTGACTCACAAGAAAAGGAAAAATATGAAGGGGAAAGTTGTTCTAATAACAGGCGCCAATTCAGGATTAGGAAAAGGTTTGTTTTTACAATCTTATTGAATTTAATGTATATCTATTTCCCCAAGGAATTCTATATTGTAGTAAATTGAAAAAAAAAATATAATTTCAATTTTGATTTCAATTTTCTTTTTCAAATTATTTCAATGAAAATTTTTCTATACTTTCAGCATGTGTTTTTGCATTTCATCAAGCTGGGTGTAAGGTTATCATGGCAGGGAGGAATCAGGAGCAGTTAAATAAAGTGAGAGAGGAAGTTATTCAAAAGCAGGTACATTCTTGTCTTCTCTGTTCAAAGATGGAGAAAAATTGATTTGGGCAGTCTATGTTCACTAAGACAAAACTTACGCAAAATATTTGTCTAATAAAAAAAAATTGAATGAAAATCAATTATAATGATTTTGCTTACAGTTCTCAGACACATTTTCACCAGAAATTCTCATCATGGATTTGATGGAGTATAAGAATATGCAAGAAGATATTTCCAGGGGATTGAAAATATTTGGACAGATAGACATTCTCATAAACAATGCAGGGGTCAGCTATAGAGGGGAGATAAGCACCCATATCGAAAATGAATACAAAAATAATACAAGAAAAAAATACTAAAATAATACAAAAAAAGTATATTTTTAATGACCAAATTTGGAACCCTCTAAATCTTGGTTCCAATTTAGGTCAAAAATAATAGACTTTTTAAAAGCCAAACAGAAAAATATATTTTTAATATACTTTATTTTTTCGAAATAATACAGAAATGATACACATGACCTGTAAAAACGTATTGTTTTTGTACTTTTGTATTATTTCTCTATTTTCTCTCCAAAGTATAAAAATAATACAGTCCATAGAAAAGTATAGAAAAAATACAGAATGTATTAATTTTGTATTAGCATATATTATTTTTGTATTTTTTCACCTTTAAGAATTAAAATACAAAAAAATATAGAATATATTAATTTTGTATCACATATATTATTTTTGTATTTTTTCATCTGGAACAATTAAAAGTACAAAAAAGAAATAAAATATGAAAATAATACAGTACACAAAAAAGTATGAAAAAAATATAGAATGTATTAATTTTGTATTAATATGTATTGTTTTTTGTATTTTTATCAGCATGAAGGATTGTATTTCAAAAATATCAAAAAAGTACAAGAATGAAAGACAAAAAATACATTTAAATGCTTAAAATAATACAAAACAGCGTTTTAAAAACTACAAAAATGATCATGGGCAAAAGTTGTCATTTGAAGAAAAGGGGTTGGAGATTGAGGTTCTTAAAAGCATCTGTTGATTGTTATTCAAAAATCTTTTATTTATTTGAAATATTTGTTAAATAACAATTTTAGTAACTCAGTCAGATTACCTTAAATGTACAAATACCTAATTAAAAAGTAATTAATGTGGCCAGGCTACTGATTCAGCTACCAATTGTAGTCTTGATCTTTCTTTTTACATATAATCTGCTCTTCAATAGTCTTGATATTTTTCACAAGTTTAACTAATCCTGTTTTCTTTGTACTTTTACCAAATGTTTCGATCTCTCTGCTTTGCTGTTTCTTTTGTATGGAAAAGGTAGAGGAGTGTTTACTTTGTTGCAGAAGTCCATCTTCAGATCACACAACCTGTCATCTCATCTGACTTCATCACTGTGAAATATAGAACAGAATGATATAATAATAAAATTTAATGAACCATTACCTCAACAAAACACACATTTTCACATCCAAAATAATTCTATATAGATTTTGTTTGGCTCACACACCTGCAATACTTTCTTGAGAGGGATCTTCTTCCTCCATGACTAATCAGCTTTTCTTCAATGTTCTGCTGGCTAAAATTAACAATAATTATAAATTGAAATTCCAAAAGATCCAGTGGAGTTCACCAAATTCCATACAATTGTACCATTGAAATTACCTTTCTTTAATCTGGGGTTTCTTAGGGGACAACCATTTGATTTGAAATCTGGAGAAGAAAAAGGGGGGGTGGGGGTGGGGACTGATTTATAAAATATTTTTAAAAAAATATTTGTAATTAACAATCTGTCCTTGAAAATGTTGAAAGAGTAAACAAAATGTGTGCCCCAGTGTTATTTAAATAAACTGCCCCCCCCCCCGAACCCAACCTACCCCCCCCCCCCTTGAAAAAATTTGAGTTTATACAAATTACAGAGTTGTTTTTGAAGGGAAAATAAATAATTCGTCTCTGGTAAACTTGAAAAAATTGGAATGAATTAGAACTAGGAAGCCAAAGGCTTGAAAATTACCCCCATCTTCCACCCCTCCCTCCCCAATAAGAATTTATCACAAAAACCCTTGTTCCCCACATGGCCAATAACCGTACTATTTTATCTTTCTACAATACTACAAAAGGGGTAAAAAGGCATTCTTTGTTCCTCTATCTTTGTACTTAGTTATTATTTAAAAAACTGAAACTTTAATGTGCTTAAATTATACATAATCTTACCGCAACTGTCGTTGTTTACACTAGAAAAGTCCGGATATGATACCTAAAAAAACGTCAGTCTCCTTATGTATTTGCTTTCCTTGGTTCATATATATGATCCTGTGTACCATGATTATGCTGAACTTCTGTTTTTCGATCCATTTTACTCGCGAGCAAATGAGAGTTTATTCAAAATCACCTCCAGCTTTCTCAACACGTCCCGGGAAGAATTTTCAAAATGGCGTGGGTGAAATATTGTTGACCAATCAGAGAACAGTACGGAAGAGTTTTAAAATCTGACCAATCATATTGTGTCATATATACGAAAATTACCGATGTTGAGATCGGAACAGTTAGAGAAAACATATTTACATGGTTTTAAATATCTTTAATCAATTGAAAAAACCTAAAATTATGTTAGAAAAAAACGATGTTCAATTTAATCGTCAGAATCATTTTTTTATTCCTTACGGAATTTACCGATTACGAAACATCGTTATTTCCGGTCATCTTTTCCACTGAAAGCAGCCATTTTTATATTCAAGTTGACCTGTGAAGTAGACCATAAAGTTCAAATATAATGATCAAAACGAGCGGGAGATACATAATATATAGCCTTTTTGACGGACAACTTAACTCATACATACGGTACCAGAGATTGAAATAATGTTTAACAACTATCCTTTACACCAATTTCACAACATTTTCTATATTATTTTATGATATTCTTTCGTAATAATTTCTTATTTATTTATTTTTTTAAAAGCGGATAATTAAATAGTTCTATTCCATGTAATTGTAATACGTACTGAATTAAATATAATGTATACTAAATTGAGTTGTATAGTCAAGAAAACATCGTAGGTACTGTAATTAGTGGAACTCTCCATGTTGTTTGTTTTTGTTTTGGTTGGGATGTGTTTTCACAGGTAAATCATGTTATTTCTTTGAGTAGTATAACATGTACTCGTCTATTGTTAGCCTGCAGGTGGCCACCTGTGCTGTTGGCGATAGTTGTAAACACTCGGTTGTAAACACGCTGTAAAATTTTCAACACAAAAAGAAAGTCTGAAACTCTGAAACTTCAAAATTTACTGCGTGTTTACAAGTATCA